AGACTGCACTGAAGGCCACGCTGATAGCATGGCTTTTGGTCGGGGTAAACGTTAAACAGTACATTGATCTTACCAGGACAGAGCAACAGATCAAACAGGTCTTTTATGTGCAGTCAAAGTACAGAGAGGAAAGGCTCCCATGTTCTATGTGTGTGTGTGTAAACGAATTTAAAGTTCTCACATTGTAATGATTCGTTTGAGACAGGACCAGACTGAGCTCCTTATTTGGTGGTACTTTTAAATACACCGGTATTTCATAGCAAACTGAAGAATACGTCTTAGCCCATTGTTGTGATTTGGGATGTGTTAAAAGTACACTTTATCCTCAGAGCTGATTCATTCAACTCTAACAGAAAGTAAAGGTATCTGAAGGCCACAACTCAGGTCTGGCATATCCCAGAATCTGTGCTTCAATTATCTCTGTGATGTCCATCTTTGAGTAGACCTCACCTGTTGTCTGTATATTGGAGCCATAGCAAAACAAGATCCAACTTCTTTAAAGGTACACTGTGTAATTTTAGTGTAATCTAGGGTTGACATCTTATATTGCAGTCCAAGGTACTACGGAAGCCTTTGATATAAAATATGTGTTTTTAACAGTGCTCCTCAACGCTCAGTCATTCACCAGACTACCATGGAAAGAATCCTTTAGTTTGATAAATAACTGGATATCTCCATTTGTCTCGGGTATTTGACAGTCTCGTGGAGGCGACATGTAAACAAGACTGCGTTCTGAAGCAACACCCGTTACACAAAGGCTTCACTGAGTTTTACCATGGAGCTATTATTATATATAGTTTTAGAAACGTGGTAATGTGGGAGCTTAAAACTACGATGATCAGAGAAACAGGACAGCAACGATATCAGTGGGTCATGTGAAACGAAAACAAAATTCTTGCATCCTTTTTGTCCCTTATCCACCGTTTATTTCAAGATAGCGCATTGACATGGAGAGCACTCTGCTCCCATGGACATTTCTAAGCGAAATTCTAAGCCTATGAAAACAATTTAAAAAACACGGTGGCGCTAAATATTCTTAAAAAGGTCACATTTGTTATTAGTTAACATGTTTTTTCATATGGAGCAAGTGAAAAAATTACGCAGGGTGGCTTAAAGTTGAATATTATGTTTGAATTGGTCAAGTGAAAGTCATGCAGTGTTGGTGCCGACATTGCCAGAATTCCCATTGTCTCATCCAGTCTCATCCTGAAATGACCATTCATTAAAAGTATTCAATAAATAATAGTGAACAAAATGTTACATTTCCGTTGAATCTTCATATGATAGGTTTAGCACCACCAAAATAATGTATATTTTCTTTTAATATGTAACTTCTCTGTATGCATTCAAACTGTATTTTCTTTTACAAGATTTCATAGCAGCGAAAAACAGGTGCCATCATATGTGTCAATAAATACACTTTTTACTTTTCATCGAGAAATTGCCTCAGAACCATCATCGGCTCCATCAGCATATAAACAGATCTCCAAACCACGTCTAAAATTCAAATAACTGACAAAAAAATCAACATTTATAACAGCTCAATATTTACAGAGAAACTTTGGCAGAATTAATGGTGACTGTCGCGGCCTGCAAGATGTTCAATTCACAAAAAGCTGTTATTGTCCTTTGGTTTGTCATAGATGGATTTTTAAATGGATTTTTAGCTTTTTACTTAGAATATTTTCAGAGGGACTGGCCATCTTTTTGAAAACGTCCGTGAGCATTAGATTGGTGACCTCGGGCCTTTCTCACTGTCTACTCATGATAGATACGTGAATGTTGAATAACATATTTTACAACTAGTGCTGTCAAACGATTGAAATATTATATGTAAATCTTATATTAATCGACTCCGCTCCAAAGTCTAATGTAGGCCTCTCAACTTTTCTATTGTTATTGCTTTTTACAGTGTATAGAACAGGGCCCAGACTTTTTCAAACGACACTTTACTTTTTCAGCAGTCATTGAGCTGTGTGTGATCTACCTCGGATTTATGTGGGAGTTTTAGTATTCAGAATATCACTTTTGGTCCAACATGCTGATGTGAGTCATGGTCAAGTAATGGCCATGTTGTCATTCATATTTCATTGTCAGCAAGGAAATAAATAAAAATAAAATAAAGAATGCTTAAATTATCAGTATAGAAGTATTGTAGATGGTACTAATTACACAAACATCTAAAGGGACGTTCACACCGGACTCAACTTCGACTTAAAAAGCGCCAGGTTTGCATTGAAAATGAATGGTGAAGCGCGTCACTTGACGTGCACTAAAAGCTTCAAAAGAAGCTTTTGACGCGCGTAACGCTCGCGTCTCTTTCGGCGTCAAAAAATCCCTTGACGCCAAAGTTGAGAAAAGCTGAGCTTTTCGAGCTTAACACCGGGCGTCAGCCAATCGGGAGACGAGGTGAACCAGTAGCAGAAGCTTTTTATTGTCATTATTGATTTTAGTAATAGTATTTGTATGAATAGTAACATTCTTAATAAGTAAGTAACAATATCAATGTACACATGCTGTGAAGTAAAAGTAACAGAACAAGCTGACGCTGAGTCTGGCTCAGACACAGCAGACTGCAGGACAGCAGTGGACAGCAGTGGACAGGCGCTCCTCCGCGGGTGCGAGGTGAGCTCCAGGCGGGAGCGAGGCGGACTCCAGGTTTGGGGCGAGGCGGGGTGCGGGTACTCAAACAGGGCGAGTGACATGCAAAAGTACCGCTGAAAGTGAAAATCATCCGTACGCAGCTCCTGGAGTAAATGGTGAAACTCAGCAAACACTACAGCCTCTCAAGTCTGTGGTGAACCCAGAACTCGTTTTGTAGAAACCCTACGACAACGTTGTTTGGCTTTTTGTAACAACTAAAGGCTCGCTGATCTCGGTAAATCCGTCGTTATCTCTGGACAACCGGCAATAGAGAAGCTCCTCCAACCGGGCTTCAAGCACGTCACTCGCGTCAGAAGCTTCAAGCACCAAAATGACACAAAATAACCCGACGTCACTTGACGCGCGTCAAAAGCGTTTTGAAGCTTTTGGTCTGAACGCACTTTAAGACATCCAAACATCTTTCTACAAAGAAGATCTTCCTAAACTACACAAACATTTGCCACACAGTATGTTCTTGTGTTTTGTGGCTCATATTATAAATGTCACATGACTGCTTAGTGTCATATTATGTATAAACCTCACACCTCGTTACTGTCAACTGTGACCGTGCACATGCTCGTGGGCTCTTCAGTGTTCTTTATTCTGGGGAGTTTTTGAATGCAATCACTAATAAATAATGCCCTAGGAACACATTTCTTTTGATATTGAAAACTATGACACGCCCCCGCCGCCTGTCAACTCGCGCCCACACAAATATCACTTGTCATTTTAGATGAAAATGATATACCAGGAGCACAATTCCACCATCAAACCATCGGGGATCATAGTGATGCACAATTAAAACTTTGGCTTGAATGTCGTGGTCTACAGTGACTGGTGGAAAGTTAGAATTGATAAAAAGGTAATGGTGAGGATTATGCTAACACTGATTATGCTAACACAAGTTCCATTTATCACGTTTTTTTTTGCAAACAATGTGGCAGTAAAACGATAGTTGGATGTCGGTTTCTACCAACCGTTCATACGAAGACTGTGTTCCAGGGGGGTGAAAACGTAAGGGTTCAGATCCAGCCTGCAGAGTGGGACAACTCAGAAACGCTGCACAGCAGGGGATCTCTTTCACAATCGCGAGAGGGAAAAATGTGTGAAATCCCCCTGTGCTCTGAGCCCCGCCTCCGTGCTGCTCCCCGCGCGTAAATTTGGACATGCGCATTAGCGGAGAACAAACATCAACAACAATGGCGGCGGTCACACTAACTAGCTTTGTGGGCTTCCAGCGCGGCACTGAGGATAATTCTACTCCTTCGTTCGTCCAAACGAGACCACGCGAAGCTCTAGTTTCAGTTTCCATTTTCACAGCTGCTGTTAAAATGCAGAATGATGTTGGTGCATTCTGAGGGTCTGGTACAGGACGTGAGTACACTGCCGAGAGGGGGGCTGGGCACGGGGCCGGGGGTCGTGTGTCGTGTTGTAAAGTTTCTCTGCCCACTACTGGCCGAGCACTAGAACTACATTGTTTTTCAACCTCATGGGAACACTTAGAAATTTGCATTAGGAGCCAAGTCGTTTCTGTTAATAGCCTGGAAACGTCTGCGCAGCGTCTCAGTATAAACAGGGCCATAGTTAGCTACGGTCAGCCGATATTATAATAGATCCATGGGGTCAACGGGCTACGTCACTAGTCTTTGCAGAGAGAAGCTATCGGAGCTAGCCACGCTCAATAATTGCAAATGACAATCAATCAACACATATAAATGTTAATCGGAGAGTACATTATGCGTATACATTCTTAACACAAGTGTTAAGAGTTTTTCAGAATTATCTGTGTAAGGTAAGAAAGTGAATGTGGAGAGGGGAGGTTTTGTATCAGTTTGTGTCGGTATTAAACGTCGCAAACGTAGTCCTAAACCTCGCCTACTCCGGGTTGAATGGATCTAAATTTTAAGTAAGAGGGGCACCAGCAAGAAGTTGCAATTGAACTAGTCCATTCTGCCTCGATCAGTCTCATAATCTGATAGGTCTTGAGTTCTATATCGGCCAGGGATATCATGAATTATACAAAGAACACTGACGACTCTTAAAAGTTAGCGTGGGTTTATTAACTACATATAGAAACGGGAACGGTAACCGGGAGGGATCACACAAGTATGATAAGTCACATGAACAGGAATGTCAGAAACACATCACCATCACACACAATACAACTCCAGCAAGTCTTACTGTTACTGCCAAGTCCCAGAGGTGAAGAGGCTTTCTACCCGTTTGGGTCAGGCGGTCAAACACTTCAGTCTTCCTCACGCACGGAGAGCGGGCGCACACACACTCCAGTCTTTCCCACACACGGGAGCAGGGAGCGGGGATTGGTCCCGGGAAGCCCAGAGGTGGCTTGAGGCGCGATGGTCCACGGTGCTCCTTTTTGGTGGGAGTTGGAGAGCAGTTACGCCGCTGCGGGACAGGCAAGTCGAGTTCAGCTCGATGGGAAAAGGATCGGGCAGCTGTCCGGGCAGCGAGCTCCAACCTGCGCCTGGGTTGAAGTTGTGGGCCCCTGGATCGTGCAGGGGAGTGGGCCGCGCTCCAAGACGCGGCCCACTGGCCCAGAGAAAGTTTCAAAGAGAGTTCCCAAAAGGTTCACAAGCAAAAGTTAACATACGAAAAGTTGCTGTGTCTCTGTTTTTGTTCCGGCTCTGGGGGCGTGTCTTATGACGTCAACTTTCCGCGCCTCCAGAACTCCTTTCATGAAATCATAGTTTTAACCACATACACGTTACTTAGACATAGACACACAACACACCTTGTTCACAGACAATGGTACACACGTTTTCTGATTTAAGATGTTAACAAAACAACATATTCATCCGTGGTTTCAGTTGTCCGTCTCAGGTGTATTGGCGTCCCGTGTCCATTGGGGGGGGGGGGGTGGAACGCCGTTGCCGGATCGCCGGCCCATGGGTGATGTCTATGGCTTTGTTTGAGGCGATGCAGACCCACTGGCCCCCTTTGAACTCGCCGGGGGTGGGGGCCAGAGGTGTGCTCCGGGGACAATCACTGTCTTTGAGATGACTGCTGTATCTATGTGAGCCATTGTGGTGCTCTATCCGACCTCCATCGCCTTCGATGTTCCGAGCCGTGTGTTTTTGTTATCTCACACACAACCCCGCAGCTTGGCTGGCTTGCCTGGGTCATCGCGGGGGCAGTGCATTTTATTACCTTACATCTGCTTACGTTTTCATGACAAAAATACTGTTTTAATGCGACAAAAAGCGATCAGTAGACCCAGAAGTAACCACTAATACAACACTTTAGGACACATTTGCAGAGGATCAAATTATAGATTTAGGTTAAGTTTATATTTGGGTCACTCACTGCTGATGTTCACAATTCTTTGTTCAGTTTTCATGTAGAGAGTTGTAGTTTTGAAGTAGGTTAGCTAGCCTAACTATTGCTCGCCTGCTACGGGAAAACCTTTGGGAACTATTTTCTTTGCAGTCATTAAATAAACCTTTCGGCATTCATAAAAGTGTACTGAAGTTTATTTTGTGTGTTCAGTTGGTACAAAGCCCTATAATAAGCGGACCCCGACGCCCTGTCGGTTCTTATTTTCCGATAAAAAAATCCCTTTATCATTCAGCAGCAGCTAACGTCATGTGTGTGGGATTTATGAGACCACAATGAGCACAAACTGGATGTGTGATCACTCATAAAGAAGAGAAACTTAACAGAGCTTTATTAAAATGTTTTATTCGGTCTTTCAGTATGCCACCTGAAAGAAGTGTCCATCTGCAAAAACAGATACGAAACTACTATTTGAAAAGAACAATGACCAAGACTTACAACTAACTCATATTTGAACTCATACTGTATGCAAATGATATGTTTAAGTATTCCACATGGAGTAGTTCCCATCTCTGGCCCCATGTTTTAAAACTGGCCAGGTGCAAGTTTGAACACCAGTGCTTGAGGGAAAAACTAAAAATCTGTTTTTCAAATGGCCGCTGCCACAGGCCGGTCATAAAGTGGTTATGTGTGGTTTAAAATGAATGCATTTGAGTTAGTGAGGAGGTACAAAGACAATGCCACTGTAGTTTCAGCCGGATCTTCTCTTTTGTTTTTCAGTACGACTTTGTGGAACTTTTGGACGGCAGCCGGCTCATCGCCAAAGAGCACAGGTCATCAGGAGAAGCAGACCTCAGGACACGCCTGGAACACCCGGTCAGTCTGCACCAGGCCGGCTTCATCCAGTACCTGGACCAGGGAGTGTGGCATCTGGCATTCTACAACGATGGAAAGAGCGCTGAGCAAGTTTCCTACAACACCATCATCCAGGGTAATATCCTACACCCTCCAGAGGTAGCTCAACCAGGCGTGTCACAGCTGTCATCAAAAGACCAAGCAGGAGCACATCAGACTCCACCCATTTCCACAAGTGGGTCCAGTCTTAACCCGGGTGGAATGTGGTGTGCTTCTTCAATTCTGCTTGGATTGAATGAAGACCTGCAGCCACACTTGCCTCTTTTGCAACCAATTTGACACCCCTGACCTAGACCTTACTATTTTAATTTGATTATTATTATGTCTCAATCAAAAAAAACTCAGATAGAAATGAACTGAGTGCTCCCAAAGTCTGTTTCAAAAGTTTCATCTACTGTATAGGTATGGAAACAGAAATCTTATTTAGAAGCTTTTACTCGTGAACCTGGGGCATGTGTAGAAGATGAGACAAATGTGCTGATGCCAATTTTAAAATAAGTGAAATGTTGAAATGCACACATTACAAGCTCAAGGGCCACATGTTTAAGTAATGAGGAATAAAAGGAAGTCGAGCAAAGGGACCAGTGTGTTGGTGTGGAGCAGTACATTTACAGACACAAAGAGGTCATGGAGGCCTTTTCCACCGCAGGCTTTTGTTCAGCTTTAGCCGAGAGGAGGTGAGAGGTGATAAATATTACTTATAAATCTAAGTACCCGCCTCTCTCATGTAACAAAACAGACACACACATACACACTGCAGTTTATGTTCTTTTAATTGTACGAACTATTTTAGATTGATGGGATATGTGTATATTAGAAACAATCCATATTGACATTTTATGCAGGGGATTGAAGGTTGTATCTGAGTTATTACTATTATGAATAAAAAAATACAATTCATATAAAATCAAGTCAGTGCCTGCACATACTGTATAATGTTTGTGTCATTAGTAAAGATTATGAATTTAATTATTCTTAATATTTTGCATATTTCATCTATGCACGCTACGGATAATGTGGGTCCCAGTATTGACCCTTGTGGTACCCCACACGTTATTTTTATCCTTCAACTTTTTTCTATTTTGTTGCACAGGTTGTTCCTCAGCCATTTTTGATAGGTTATAACTGCTCTCATCCAGGACACTTTCGTTTCATTTTGTATTTGTTTAGCAAAGTTCATAGACAAGGCAACTCAAAGCAAGAAAAGAAGTATTTCACATCAGTGATACTGGAACTTAAAATACTGGAACGTAAAATGTTAAGAATTCTAAAAGGATGATATCACACCAGGATAAATTATTGTTCAAACATAAGGATGATTTTAAAAATGTTTAAAATTGTGAATGTTCTGTCTCCTGTGGCGTTATTATGAAACTTCCTGGTTTTATTCACTGTAGTTTCTAAAACAACTATTATTTTCCATACTGTGCGATTGTTGAAACAAACTATTATTTCTACCACAAGCTGTACTCTATGCTTCCTTAAACGGAGGCAGATAACATATTTTGGCACACCGCAATTGGTCGGAGGATGTTTTGGGAATAAACGTATTGAGTTTTTGTTGTAGAAAAGTTTGTTTCAGCCGACAGCAGATATATTGTTGCGAGCCTTAGAACGCGGCCCATACGGCGCATTGATCCACTTCCCCTCTCACCATTGGTCAAAAGTCTGAAAAATTGCTCGCACTCAATGTTTTTCCTGGTTTCCTTTGGGGTTAACATTGATCCTGGCTCACAAATATAAAGCTATTGACGTTGGGGGTCAAAATTGCTTTAGCTCAATGAACATTCACTATAAGCCAAGTGATACTGGAGTGTTTACTGCCAAACAAAAACACTGTCATATCTGCACCACTGCAGATATGACAAGAATTCAGTCACATAGAATATTTGTCTGACACAAGTGGTCCACATCAGTTTTATCCATATTTGTAATTTCCTCATTGGACTATATTTATTCAAATCCTAGCCATTTGTCAAACAATCTTTTTAACTGGTCGAGTTACCTATGAAAAATACTTAATTTCATCATCTTTAATGATAGGAGGAGGGGCTCAGAAAAAGTCACTGCTCCTCCATGTTGAACCTCCTCCATCAGAACCAGCTGAAGTGGATGCCCCCCCTGTAAGGTCATGTTCCCCTGGCTGAGCTGGAGGATGTATTTGGGGCTGGGGACCACAAACAGCTGCAGATGAAATGTAAAAAATGGATAGACTGTCAGAGTAAACACCTAATTATCTCCTACTTTTAATTAAGTAGAAAGAAAAGTCCTTGTAATAATAATAATAATACATTTTACAAGACACACATTTCCAAGACACCACAAGTGCTACATATTAAATTTCAATACAACAAACAAAATAAAACCTATTACATACAAAAAGCACATACACATACTTAAAATATCAACAAGCATAAAAGAGTAGAGTGCGGACCATAGAACACAAAACTACTAGAGCACCTCTTGCTAGTGTTCTATTCCTTACAAACACTTCTGAATGCAGACAGTTATCACTTCAAAATGTCACCATTTAGACAGGTTAGTCTTACCGTACTGATGATACAATCCTTACTATTTGTTAGAATCCTTTCATTACTTTTTAAATGATGTCTCACAGACAAATAGACAAACACTGATTATTACTTTACCTCCTTGACGTAGGTAATAATTATTACTTTAAGGTATTCAGAAAGGTCTTGAAACAATGTTAAACAATCTCGTTCCATCGTCAAAATCCTTAAATCAAGTAATTTCAGCTATCCAGGGTGCGTGTTTTGGTGTGCGTTGGTGCAGTGTGTTGCAGCGTGTGTGTGTGTGTGTCCTTTTGCGAGGCGTAGCGCAGATGGTAGAGATGCTACGGCAGCTTAAACCTCAGCCAGACGTGGACAAACACTTGTAAATGTTGTAGATGTATGCGGCGCAGATAAGGGCTGCTGAACACCACATTCATGAGCAGGGGGAGGCTGTATTTTTTAAACCCAGCTCTTGTGAAGTGTGTGGGTGTGTGTGCACATGTGTGTGCTCTGATGTGACAATGGAACACTTGTAGTAATAGTTTAATTGTGTGTTTTGTTTTGCAGAGTCTGTCACAGAGTGCACACACAATTGTTACGGGAACGGGGAGTGTGTGGCCGGCTCATGCCACTGCTTCCCCGGCTTCATTGGCCCCTACTGCTCCAGAGGTAAAGCTTTCGAATTCCCACTTAATAACACCTACAGTAACATTTACAGTTACATGAACATTATTTGTTCATGTAAAATTTCATGGCATGATCAGATTAAATGAAATGACCATTCTATTTACCGTAAATATAAGTCTAGAATTTGCAAATACATACTGCAGCTGTTTTATGACTCCAGTGCAGTCTGCATGAAAAAGGACATTTCAGTTCTGCTTTGGATTCTGGAGCAGTGTGCTGTTCCATAATAATAATAATAATAATAATATAATAAAAAATATATATAATAAAATTTATATAGCGCTTGTTTGGACACTCAAAAACGTATGAGTATGTCAGTGCTGTCCAAAATATTGCGTTGTTGACAAATCAATATTAATGCCGTAATTTTTAATTTTTTGCACAATTAATGTCCACATTAATAAGAGCATTGAAATTATCATTCAATGGACATAAAGATTAGATACAAATGTTTGATTAATTGCAAATTAACTATGACATTTACATTTTTTAAAAATTGGTGGGGACTGTAGCTCAGTTGGTAGAGCATTGGCCTTTGGGCCTGAAGGTCGTGGGTTCGAGCCCACCGTAAGACCTAGTTCATGACTCCCACTGATGACTGCTGTTGTTGTGTCCTTGGGCAAGACACTTAACCCCACTTTGCCCAAAGCCCCAACTGAAAGATCTCAGCTCCTGTGGACTCACCACCTGCAGGAGGATCAGTGAGGGGCTGGTGCTCTGTGTACTGGGTGCAGCTCTGACTGCCACCCCCCCGACCCAGAAATGGATTAAGGGGAAGAGGATGGATGGATGGATGGCTTGTTTGCCTTCTCTCTGCTGTGCTCAGCTGCTAGTGCAGCTCATTCAACATGGCATCGTCCGCTTTGCTCCAAGGCATGGGTGTTTTATATTATGTTTGGAGGCTACAAAACTTGTCTGGTGTAAAATATGAAAGCAAAAACCTCAAATTGTAAGCCCAAAATAGTGATTTTGACACAAATGGTAAGAGAGTTTATATAATATAATCAAATCCTGCCAAAAGGAACAAAACATCAGCAGGAGACTCTCAGTAAAATCCTGTGGTTGACATCGTCCATCGGTATATGATTCTGACACCGTCTGTAGACTTTAGCCATATGTTGAACATTCCTGAACACAGCTCTATGATTGTTTTTCAAACTCATTTGTGTACTTCTTTTTTTTGCTCAGCCGCCTGTCCGATCCTGTGTAGTGGTAACGGCCAGTACACCAGGGGGCGCTGTCAGTGCTACAGTGGCTGGAAGGGCACAGAGTGTGACGTGCCGCTGTCCCAGTGTGTGGACCCGATGTGCGGCGGCCACGGCCTTTGTGTGTCCGGGAACTGTGTGTGTAACAGTGGACACAAGGGTGCGAGCTGCGAGCAAGGTAAACCGCACTTCACTGCGATTTATGACCATGCAGACAGGTGTTTTTGAAGAGATCATCACACTTTGGCCATAACTAGAAATTCTTCCACTGGTCTTAACTTTTTGATCTGAAAAGTACAGAGCCTGGGCACTTATTGTCAATATAAAGTGTCTTGCAAAAGTGACGGTACAGCTACAACTTCCACAGACATAAAGATTATATTTTGGATTCTTTCTTGACCCTTTCTCCTTAACCTTTTTGAAATACCTCAACAAAGTAACCCACACCTGAAGTGAAAGCATAATACTTTGTTGTGCAGTACAAGCTTTTCATATCTAAAACCTGAAAGTTTTGCCCATGTGTTTTCACAAGCCAGATTAAAGCTGCACTAACTGACTTTGAGGAACTTTTGAATGAGAAAGCTGAGCTTGAGCTCTCTGCTCCCCCCCACCGTAATGAATACAAAAATAAAGTCAGTTAGTGCAGCTTTAAAATGGAGATCATTTGTGAACAGCATTTCTGGACTTTGACCGGAAAAGTATCTTTGTTTAGGGCTATTGTCCTGACGAAAGTAAACATCCATCCCAGCAGAAAGTGTTTTGCTGACTCCAAAGTTTTTTTTCAAGATTTCCCTTCAAGCACATACTGAATTCATGATATCTGAAGAGAATGGCAACATGACCTAATAGGTGATTAGGTCATGAATTAAGCTCTGCCTGAATGTATAATGTTTACTCACACTTAAGGCTCAATGGCTTTTCCACCTCCACTGCGTGCATAGTGTAGGATGTGCTATCGTTACAAATGCATAGATTTTACGTCTGCATGAGGAGGTGCACCCGGTCGTACTGAAGTCTAAGGCAACCCAAGTTCGCACACCGCTCTTCCCATGCTGCTTCTCCCCACTCCTTTCCTGCATTTAACCCTTCTGAATTGAGAGCGTCAGATACGATGCTCCAGACATCGCCGCATAAGTGACACAATTTCTCACAAACGGTAAAATACATTTTACTGTTTTTCTGCGTGAAGAGGAGACTTCTGGCTATCAGAATATAGTTCCAAGATTTCTCTGTGACGCAGGTAAGATAAGCTATGTCTATTGGAAGATCAGCATCCAATCGCATCTTCAAGTGAGGTTACTACCCAATCGTTGTGCGTGTTACTGTGGCATGCTTCTTTTTCCCGGTGTGCCAAAGGTTGAAGAGAGCCATAATAATTATATTCTCCGTGTATAGTGTCGTTTGTATGCATTTATTCAATTACTGATCCGTAAAAGACTGTTATTTCATTGATATTGTGCAATAAAGTGTACTCCACTGTTGCTCATGTCCTTTTATGTTATTTTATTTTGTTTCACAAACGGGATCCGGGAAACGGGAATAATTACGCAAAATGACGTAAATGGCGCCACTGGTCTCAGCAGACCCAAATAGATACTTACAGAGAAGACGCACTCGAGACTCACACAAGAGAAGAAACTAGTGCATCCCGAATTTGCATCCCATGTTTGTATCCCGTGTGTCATATAGACAGAGTGGCAAAGAAAAACCGTCACAGAGGCTCTTGAACTATTGTACGTGATTAGCAATGTAGATTCAGAATCTGGGGCTGAAAGTTTCCACACTGATGAGGAGAACCATTACTGCGAGCACGTGGACCTGGTTGAAGATTAATTGCCTATTATTTATTTGTATTTTTACATGTCAATGAACACACATGGTTGAACCATGGATCTATTATTATAACATATTGTAGACACGCCAGATTGCAGCTAATGGCTAATTTTCATCTGTTGTCCCAGGGGGCTGGGGTCACAGGAGGTTATTGTATTGAAAATAAATACAGTAAAATGATATTACTGTACGTATGTGTTTACCAGTTTATTTTATTATATTGAATACACTCAGTCCCTTTTGTTTTCGTTATTTTACACCTGTGATGATGGAGATCTCCCTCCCTCTTCAGCATACCTCTCCAGATACCGAACACCCACTCCCGCGCCCATGCCCATGGTTACAGTGGAGGCCACCACTTCTCACCACCACTTAACCACACCTTCACTGCTGACCTCCACCACTCCCTCTATTTCAAGGGGCCTTCACATTACACAGAGCAGCAGAGCTGGAGCCCGAAACAGATCTCACCACAACCTGGACCTGTACTTCCTCAAGCCAGGTGGAACAGTGAACTGGATTCCAACAACAATTTGCCACCCCAAAAAGTTCACGCTCAAAAGGACACCAGGGCACCAGCTTCATGCAGGTAGAAATTACAGCACATTGGATTTATTTTCACTTTTTGTGGACAAAGGTGCAATGGCCAGTCTTTGCACTAACACCAACAAACAGGCTGCAAAAAATTGCTAAGGGAAAGAAATACAGTTGGACAACACTGCAAGAAACGGAGCTATACAAATTTATTGGACCAATTTTCTTTGCTAAAGCTCTCTGCTGTTGTAGACAACTGGAAACAACATTCTATTTTCAGTACACATTTTCCACCTCAGGATCGGTTCCTGATCATCTCATGGAACATTCATATGAAGGACCCAGACCAGGATGCTGTCAATGACCGAACGAAAGGAACCCCACAGTTTGATAAACTTTTCAGACTGAAGCCACTTTTGGACTCCATAACGGCCTGTAAAGCACACCATCACCCAAGACAAAACATTTCCATCAATGAGAAAATGGTTGCAACAAAGTCACACACAGGGATGATCCAGTACATGAAGGCAAAACCAACTAAGTGGGGCTTCATTTTTTGTCTTGGCAGACAGCTGCAATGGCTGCATGGTGGACTTTGTAATTTACACAGGGAAGTCTCAGTTTTCCTCTGGTGTGGGGCTTGCCCACGATTCTGTAATTTCCCTTGTAATGCTCTCGTTCCAGGGTAGTGGTTACCACCTGTATGTCGACAACTTCTACACAAGCTCAAAACTTTTCATGGAAGTTATGGTCTGGGCAGAAAAGACCAAAGGGGCACAATAAGGTGGATCAGGACGGGCCCATTGGTGTTTGTAAAGTGGATGGACTCGCGTGAAGTCTCCATCTGCTCCACCATCTATCCTGCTTACACAAGTAAAACAGTGAGGCTGCGCTTCAAACAAACCGGCAACTGGGTCACCAAAGATATTCCCTGCCAATTATGGAATACAACAAGCACATGGGAGGGGTTTATCTCTCAGATCAACTCATTCAATTTTACAGTGTTCACCACACCACCAAACGCTGGTACCTGGACCCTATTTTTCCAATTCATGGACATTGCAGCCACACATGCTTATCTTTTGCACAAGAGTTGTGCCAAGAAAAAGGGAACATGCCAATGACACACCAAGGTTTTTTAGAGGAGCTGACTGTGTCAGTGATGGTCCCTCCTGTAAAAGCCCCCTTGGTAATATCTGAAAAGGCCGACAAGAAGAAGTGGGCATCATACGGGAGGAGAAGCTTTGCTCACTGCAAAGAGTGTGATGTGGCTCTCTGCCTCATGGCAGACAGAAATTTCTTCCAGGAATGGTATCAGCAGTAAAACGCTGGGGTTTTTTGCACTTATTGTGCAATTTTGTACATTTGTACTATAGTTACAGGTCAAATTGCTTTCCCCATTATCCCCATGACCCTAAACAACATTTCTACAATGTGGAAGAAATTGTTTATTGCATTTCAGTTTGTTTTTCCAATAGGATTTTCCGTTTTTATTTTGTCTATGTCTTCATGACTCCCTAACATTTATTACATTCATATGACACCAGTACAGTGTACATAGTAGGGAAGCCCAGGTTGTGCTGAGAAAACAATGTACAATGCTTGACTGTGCATCCCTAGATGACTCTTCTATGAGTAATAATACTAAAACAATTCCAGGCAAGGTAAATGCTCCAAAACGTCCCTTGACTCTGAAGGGTTAAGCGCATTGATCGCCACAAGACAAAAGGCCATTATCAGCTCCCATTTGCATGTTCGGCTCCGCAGCCGCCTGCGCGCTGTATCGAGTGTGCTAAATGGAGACGTCTGTGGTTTTCCTTGCTGTGAAGTGATCTGGAGGAGCAGAGGGGGAGGGTGCGTGCTCTGTGATGAATGGGCCCAGGTGAAGAATCGATTAGGTTTTGAACACGTACGGAAATGCAGAACAATCAGCCGCATAGGAAACTGCGAATGATGTTAGTAATGAGTTGATTATGTTTCCCATAATTGACAATTACTAACAAGGAGCAACAAGTTGATCCAAATAGTTAATTGTAATTGATTCTATTCATCCTGGTGCTAATGGAGCTCCATTTGTGCAGCTGCAATGTGCACAAGTATGCAGTCAGTCTGCAGTCGTCATTAATGTACTCTGACTCCACCCATGCTCACCCTCTCCTGATTGGACAATATCAATTCAAATCCCAGGCATTGGTCGAACTATTTTCCTCCAGCAAATATTATTGGTCTTGGTTTTTCCAAGAGTAGTAACTTGTAACAAGAGAATAATACCTTACATAACATCAAGGGTCAAATATGTTTAAAAAGGCTATCCATGATGTCTTAGTATAACATGTTTGAAAACAGCAGATTTAGACAGAAGGGGCGGAGATAAATTACGATTATTTACTTACAAACTTACTTCTTTGATATGGTTTATGCCAGATGGTCCTGAGATTAGAGTTTATGTAGTTAAAATCAGCTATAGGTTTTTTTTTGTCTTTTTTTATGAGAAGGCAAATTCACCTCAAGAATCCAGTTATGAAGAAAGGGAAAAAAACATGAGATAAAGGAAAACACACACAAGCAACTGCGCAAGGAATAAATATTCAACTTACAGGTGTGCAACCCACGCAGTTTTACATCTAACTTTAGGTCTGATCTGTTTAATTCAAGAGGATAACACATACCCTGTGGAACAACCCAAACTGTTTTCAACGCATGCCACAAAAGGGCACAAACGTACCTTCAACAGGTCCCATAATTTGCCTTTAATGTGTCGTGACTTTAAATATGTTTGATTGTTTTTAAAGATTGAATGTTTTTGAACACCTGGTGCTGCAATAGGAAAACAAAATTTTAAAATAGTCCCAAAACTGTTTGGAGGGTTCATTTCTCCATATCGTACAATAGTTACAATGTGTCTTATTTATTTAGTCTTACGCTTTATCCGATGCCGGGTCAAGGCGCCAGCAGTCTAAGTGGAGACCAGACTTTCCGTCTCCCCAGACATTTCCTTTAGCTCATTTGAGGGAATAAGGAGAGCCCTGCCTCTCTGCAGAGGACCCTTATGTGGACTGCCTGTGTTGTCCACCGCGTCTTTTGGGTTCTTCGCCACAGTTCCTGACCAGAGGTGATCGGAGGGTGGTCACCGAGCTGTAAATCCAGAGCTTTGCAGACTCAGCTTTCTTTCATCCATCCAAATGGCATTGATGATCAGCCATTACACATCAAATCAAAATTTGTGACATTCAATTAATCCTGATCAAAAGCCCTGCTACTCTTAAGTACCATTAAGACCTAATGACAAGGTATAATGTTTTAATCATTGTCGTCCCGTTCTTATATTTTGTCGGCGCTGCTCATCAGAGTAGTGACATGTTATCTCTTTCATTCTCATTTCTGCAAGAAATGCAAACTGAGAGTGGAACTTATTCTTTTTTCTCGACATCAACATAGTTTTTATATTCTTACATTTTGAATGTTACGGCACGTATCAAAAATGGCTTGATAATTAAACGAGTTCATTGACTTCTTGTTCAGAACTAGTAGCACTTTTATTGCCCATAAAAACGTACTTCTACACATTGCAGGGGTTAAATTCTAAAAATAATATGCAATATGCGAATAATGCAAATTAGGATTTATACGTTTTAAAGCTGTAAAACTCCTCACCACACACTTTATACACTTTTCTACCCACCTGAACTTACTACTTACCTACAAACCAGTTTGCTGTAGGTCTGACTTTTGCTTCTGCATTCAAAAGCCATGTATGCACTGCAAAATACAGCTGCAGAGGATACCACTAGGACTGAGAGGACTCATAGGACAACTGAAAGAAGTCCTCTGAACAAATCACAATGGTGCACACACACCTCAAACGTTTTCCTCTTAAAATAAAGATAACTATCTTGTGAAACTAGCAGTAATATGATGTTGTTGAGTATACACATGGCGCATGAGAAGCATGCTGTTAAAAGCATGCAAAATTGCATAGGCCACAAAAGGTGAACTGTGTTATTGTGAGAGACCACTGTAGAGATTCAAGATTCAGTTTATTTAAAATTTGCATTGAAACAACATTGGAATAACTGTGCAAGACTACCCCAGTGTGCACCGAACAGAGCAAATAGTACACGCCAGAGCTCTTGCACCATGATCTCGGCGCCTTGCGATAAATGATAGAAATATATAAAACATCTTCATTAGCCTCGATAGACAGTGGCGACAGACAGATGGGATACCATTTTACCCATCTGTCAAAGATGTATTCCACAGCTGCCATTCCGTCACGGCAGGAAGTGTCTCGCGCCTTTTGTGATGAAAAAAACTATCAATATCTCTATTCTCTATTCTACTTTAAAAAAATAAATGTATTTAGTATTGTTAGTATTGGATTTCCTCTTGGCATGATCCACACACCAAAGATTTGCTGGAGGAGAATAGTCAAACCAATCAGGGTGAGCATGGGCAGCTCTCTTAATGATGTTTGTGTTGGAAAATGTTCTCTATCTTCATCATTTTAGAAGTAACTAAGGTTCGCTTTAATAGTTCTACAAATGAAAAAAAAACTGAAATCAATGCTTGCTTGAATATTGGTTGGTCTTCATTCATATATTTTGTTGTTTTTCCCCAGTGGACTGCTTGGACCCGTCCTGCTCCGGACATGGGGCCTGTCATCACGGCGAGTGCCACTGTAACCCTGGCTGGGGAGGACTGAGCTGCGAGGTCCTGAAGAGCACGTGTCCTGAGCAGTGCTCCAACCACGGAACCTTCAGCACCGACAGCGGCACCTGTGTGTGTGAAAGCAACTGGACCGGGACCGACTGCTCCATCGGTGAGCACACACACACACATACGCAGGAACATGCACACACATACACACAGATGCAGATGAACACACACACACACATGAACGCACACACACATTCACACAAATGCACATGAACACACACACACACACGTACGCTCAGGATTAAAAAAACCAACATACATCCAGTCACCAATCTTACAAAAACGGGCAGTTAGAATTATTCATTATGTGGGGTTCAGGGAGCACACAAATATATTACTTTCAATGTCGAAACTATTAGTATTCACTGATTTATTTTACTATTTAATGGGGGTTATTATGTTTAAATCAATACGCCATATTTTACCTGCAAATATCCAATATTTATTTATAGAAAGAGTACGATACAACCTCATAGGAACCACACTCGCTTTAGCACTTACCACGGGGAAGAGTTTCTGTGTATCACTTTGTGCAGTGAAATTAGGTAACAGCTTAGTGAGGACCTTAAACTCTGTTCAAACATTGGAAACTTTTATTTTTTTTACAAATCCAGTATTTTGGTTTGGTAGAGTGAGGTCTAAGTAAATTTACAAAAAATGGAATTGAGTTTTTTGTAAACATCTGGTATTGATTGTATGAGTTAAAGTTTACCAATGGAAAAGGGCTGGGGTGAATGGGCCTCATGTATGAAAATTGCGCAGAAAAAGGAGTATATTTTGGGTGTAGATCTCAGATACGTAAGGTCTGACGTGGCATTTATGAACGTGTGAGATACGCAAAGATCTGAGCGTACGCACCTGTGGCTGTTGATAAATGCCGCGCTCAAAGCCAGCGTATTTATGAAAGTCACGCCTATAAATATTCAGAAACTGCCTGTTCCACGCCCTGTTTTTGCGACAGGTCAGCAGGAAGTCGGCTAAGAAGCCGCAAAAAGCATGCATTTTTGAGTTCATTCACGTTTAAAAATGAACTCAAAAGTATTCGGCCCCCTTGAACCTTTCAACATTTCGCCACATTTCAGGCTTCAAACATAAAGATATAAAAATTTAATTTTTTGTCAAGAATCAACAACAAGTGGGACACAATCGTGAAGTGGAACGAAATATATTGGATAATTTAAACTTTTGGTTTGTGGGGCGTGCAATATTATTTGGCCCCCATGCGCTAATACTTTGTAGTGCCACCTTTTGCTGCAATTAGAGCTGCAATCGAGAGACTGGAATTCTTTCCCATTCTTCCTTGCAAAACAGCTCAAGCTAAGTGAGGTTGTATGGAGAGCGTTTGTGAACAGCAGTCTTGAGCTCTTTCCACAGATTCTCGATTGGATTCAGGTCTGGACTTTGACTTGGCCATTCTAACACCTGAATACGTCTATTTGTGAACCATTCCATTGTAGATTTGGCTTTATGTTTTGGATCATTGTCCTGTTGGAAGATAAATCTCCGTCCCAGTCTCAGGTCTTTTGCAGACTCCAACAGGTTTTCTTCCAGAATGGTCCTGTATTTGGCTCCATCCATCTTCCCATCAATTTTAGCCATGTTTTCCCAGGTGGCTTGTGGCAAACTTTAAACGAGACTTTTTTATGGATATCTTTGAGAAATGGCTTTCTTCTTGCCACTCTTCCATAAAGGCCAGATTTGTGCAGTGCACGACTGATTGTTGTCCTATGGACAGACTCTCCCACCTCAGCTGTAGTTATCTGCAGTTCATCCAGAGTGATCCCGGGCCTCTTGGCTGCATCTCTGATCAGTCTTCTCCTTGTTTGAGATGAAAGTTTGGAGGGACGGCCGGGTCTTGGCAGATTTGCAGTGGTCTGATACTCCTTCCATTTCAATATAAGTGCTTGCACAGTGCTCCTTGAGATGTTTAAAGCTTGGGAAATCTTTTTGTATCCAAATCCGGCTTTAAACTTCTCCAACAGTATCTCGGACCTGCCTGGTGTGTTCCTTTGTCTTCATGGTTCTCTCTGTGCTTTAAACAGAACCCTGAGACTATCAAAGAGCAGGTGCATTTATACGGAGACTTGATTACACACAGGTGCATTCTATTTATCATCATCAGTCATTTAGGACAACACTGGATCATTCAAAGATCCTCACTGAACTTCTGGAGTGAGTTTGCTGCACTGAAAGTAAAGGGGCCGAATAATATTGCACGCCCCACTTTTCAGTTTTTTATTTGTTAAAAAAGTTTAAATCATCCAATACATTTCGTTCTACTTCGATTGTGTCCCACTTGTTTTTGATTCATGACAAAAAATTCAAATTTTATATCTTTATGTTTGAAGCCTGAAATGTTGAAAGGTTCAATACTTTCGCAAGGTACTGTATATATACGTTATATTATATATAAACTTTTTTCCCTAGTGTCTAGACCCACTGCAGCACTCATTTCTCCTGAAATTTCGACGTAAATAAATAAATAATAAATGACCTGAATGAATGAATGAACTATACTGCTGGTGCGCGTCGCATCCTATCTCTGCTCTGCGGAGTACAGGGGCTGAGACAGTTTTGAGCAAGATCAGGTGCATTTATGGGGCTTTATGCACAAAACTAAGGAAAACCCACATTGCTTTGCCAGAGGTGAATGAGGCAAAACATATGCGTAATTACGTGTACGGCGCAGGGTCTGCCACACGTTGTTCATGCATATGTAAAAATAAATATACGCTATTTATTCAGCTGCGTTTTGAACAAATTTGCAGACATTTTTTGATAAATTATAAAAATCTCTCTTGGATTGTAGAAGTGAATAAATAAATGAATGAATGAATCAATTAATTCATATTGTGCAGCGGTGGCTCTCATCAATTAAGCGTCTGCAGCGTCTTGTGAATGCACTGAAGCGCTGTACACTTGCGAGAGCGTTTGCGGTCCAGATTTTACAGAGAGACTCTGGAGCCAAAACTTCTGAATGACAGCATTTGAGGAGTTATGTGGCGCGACCTCTCATGGCACCTGCTGTGAATGCACTCCCAAGAGTGCGCAGCGGGTGGACAGGGCAGTGAGACATTTGGAGTGAGCAATACCATAGTCCATCAGTCCATGCGTTAATGGGGTGTGTGTCTGTGTGAGGCTTACACAAATCTAATGAAAGCATAGATTGCTTTACCAGATGTGAGGAATACAAATAGCCGTGCGTAATTACGCAGCGCAGAGCCTGCCACAGCAATAGCTGGGTCACACATCCCTGTCGCGTAATGTGTATATGTATAGAGCCTTTCACAGTCCAGGATCAGAAAGCGCTTCACATTTTAAAAACATACAGTTCAAAATACACACAGACGTCAGATTTAAAATCATAGAAACAGAAGAGGCTCCTCATCATGATCTGTGATTTATTCTAAGTTTGCGTGTTTCCAGAGTGTTAGACTTTTTTGGACACTCAAAGACGCTTTACAAAACGCATAGAAATAAACATTGAAAAACAAAATTAAGGAAAGGCAAGCTGAAACAGGTGGGTTTTAAGAAGAGATTTAAAGTTCTGTAGTGAGTCTGAGTTTCTGATTGGTTGAGGGAGGGAGTTCCAGAGAGTGGGGGCGGCTGCAGCGAGGGCTCGGTCCCCCAAGGTTCAGTGTTTAGTCCTGATGGGAGTGAGGAGGTTGGAGTCAGTGGATCTGAGTCGGTGGGAGGGACAGTGATGGTGGAGGAGGTCTGTGAGGTAAGAGGGGGCCAGGTTATGGAGGGATTTGCAGGTGAGGAGGAGGACCTTGAATTGGATGCGGTATGGAACATGAAGCCAGTGGAGTTGTTTGAGGACGGGGGTGATGTGATCTCTGGAGCGGGTGTGGGTGAGAAGGCGGGCGGCGGAGATCTGGAAGTATTGTAGTTAAAGATGAGTGGAAGGGAGACCGAAGAGAAGGCTGTTGCACTCTACGCCTCATTGGGCTGAGACCACATTGGATGAGTGAGGATGGTCCTCTCTTTTTCTGTCTCAAAAAAATTATCTAATGTGACACAGACTAAAAGATAGAACTCTACTATTTTAGGGCCAGGAAATAGTGACATTGATTTTATTACATAGGTCCATCGTTCTTCTTTGAATTTACCCCAGCTTGAACAAAAAGTCAACATTTTCAGTAATACTTTCTGACTTGTGAGTCCACTTTTTTTGGTCTTTTTGACTGTTAAAACCAGCGTTTTTGTGGCAGAGTACTCAAAATAATAATTAAACATTCATGTGTGTCTTTGTTTTTAAACCAAAGAAATCCGTCTCTCCTCCTGGCCTCTCTGAAGTCCCATCAGAGAGCAGTTTATTAGCACTATCACATTTGTACAGCTACCTTCTCTTCGGGTGTACATACTCCACACACAGCAAAAGAACACAAATATATTCATCATCTGATTCATGAGTCGCTCCTGCAGTGATGAATAGATACACACTGACATCGCTGCTTCATCCCTGCCTTATGAGAACTCCTGTCAGCACTTTTGTATTTCCTCTCATCTGCTCTGGGACAAAAACACCAACTTTAAACTAGGGCTGTCAAAATTATCGCGTTAACGCACGTTAATTAAAAAATGTCATTAATCGCCTACAAAAAAAAAAAAAATCACTTGACGCATGCCCATGCATCCTATAATAATACTCAATGCCACGGACACGTGCGTGTGTGAGTCGGCAAAAGAGCAGGTAGGCCCTCTGGGAATCCAAGTTTTAAAAGAATACACTCGTTTCCTGTATGAACTCGGCGAGCTGAGCTGCGGGCGCTCTGGACAGCAGTTCCTCCAGCGGCTGTGATCGCGGCGAACGGCGCCGTAACATGATCATATCCAAGACCATACACGCACAGAACTTTTCTCTGCTTGTAGTGTGTGTCTTTGCGTAACTGGTGCACACAATATATACAGTGCTAAAGCTGGACTGCGGTCTCTTCCGTGTCTTCTCCCGAAGCGCACTCGCTAAATTAAAGCTGGGGTACCTAATTTTCCCTTCCACTACCAGTTCATGTTGGTTGTGCCCAAAAAGTTATGGTGTGAACAAATCAAACAGATTTACTGACATTCTGCCTCAGAATGTCGGTAAATGTCCCTCATCTG